CCGCGCGACGGCGGCAACGGGCCCGACGTCTCGAGCGCCGAGAAGGCCGTTGGGTACAGCTGGATGCAGATGCCAAGCATGGCCATAACAACCATGAGCGCCGAGAGCAGGGGCACGAGCCACGCCGCCTTGCGGCGACGCAAATGGTTCTCGACTCCGTACAAGGTGAAAACACTCAGCAGCAGCGAGAGCAAGACCATCGAGTACGGCATCGCATACCACGGGCGGAGCTCGGTCTGCGGCCAGTGCGCTTTCGCAAACACCAGCAGCGGCCAGTGCCAGAGGTACCACGCGTAGCTGAGCTGGCCGATCCAGACCATCGGGTAGAGGCTCAAAAAGTACTTATGCACAAACGTGTGGGGGCCGCTGGCGATGAGGAGGCCGGCGCCGGCGGTCGGCAGCAGCGCCCAGAAACCCGGGAACGCGTCTTCTTCGTTGATAATGAAGAAGCCAACGACAAGCGCCGCGAGTCCGAGCAGCGCAAGCACATGGCAGAGCCCGTGGTGGGCGACCATGACCTTGTTCTGGAGGTTGATGTACGAGAGGAGACCGCCGACTGCCATTTGCCAGAAGCGCGAGAGGGGAAAGTAGAAGGCGTAGTTGTTGGTGCCGCCGTAGCCAAGGAACGCGACGTTGCAGACAAAGCTCGCGACCAAGACAAACACTTGAGCAAGAATCGCCTTGCGGTACGAGAGCTTTATGACCAGCGACGCGAAGAGCGGCCAGAAAATGTAAAATTGCTCCTCGACGCCGAGCGACCAGAGATGCAAGAGCGGGTTTTCCTTGATGCTCGCGTCAAAGTAGCCCATCTTGAGCGTGAGCACTTGGATGTTGGCGCCGAAGACGCAGCCGGCGGTCAACGTCGCGGCCATCGACTTCAGTGCCGGCGCGAGGTACCACGCGCAGCCAATGCTCACGGTCGCAATGAGCATGAGGAGGAGACCTGGAAAGATGCGCCGAATGCGCCGGGCGTAAAAGTCCGAGTACGTAAACTTGGACGCTTTGAACTGCTTGAAGAGGATGCCGGAAATGAGAAAGCCGGAAATCACAAAAAAAATATCGACACCGATAAAGCCGCCGGCAAACGCCGTTGGGTACGCGTGAAAGATGACGACGGGGACGACGGCGACTGTCCGGAGGCCGTCAATGTCGGCGCGGTACGAGAGCGAGTGGGCGGGCGGCGCGACTTCGTGCAGCACCTCCTCTTCGTTCGGCCCATCGTCGTCGTGGATCAGGACCGGAAAGCTGTCGTGGCTGCCGTCCGTGAGCGCTGAGAACTCGTGCTGCGTGCGGCTCGGCGGCGTCGCGTCGAGGTGTGTCGAGGCCATCGCAAGTTGCAAACTGAGCTCGTGGATTGCGCTGGTGTTGCAAATGGCGCGTGTAAAAAGACGACTGCGATCGGCAATGAGTCGTACGTAGTTCAACGAATCGACTGGTGGTCGACAGTCCATCTGCCACCGACATGGCAGTTTGAGCTTGCAAATCGTGCGGTGGAATGGCAACGAACAAGCCTGGTTTCGGGTGGAATGGGCCGCATGGTCGCCCATAAATTTCTCTGCCAAATGGAGCACGCCACGGCAAAGCCGACAAACAAATGCAGCACTCGCATCATTGGTAGTCCCGTCGCGTTGCAGCAATGTAGTAGTAGAAGCGTCTCAGTAGAAATCCAAGTCTTGGGAATAGGACCAGACGCCGTCTCTGTCGCGCAAGTATCCACCAAGTCGACGCGTCAAAGCCGAGTAGACAGCCACCGACGTCGTCCACAACCAAACCATTGGTCGTTCCACGCCAAGGGAATAACTAATCCCTTGTTCCACGCCGAAAGAAAGAAAAAACCATGCACCGTCCCACGGACAGGCGTGATAGTATACCCACCCAACGCCAGCCGATGCAATTAGACCCGGGACCGAGAGTGGAATGACCTGCAACGGCTGTTTTGAGGACACAAGAAGGGGGTGTTTGTTGTTGTTGAAGTGAGTCTATTTAGATATAATTTACACTGAACTGGAAATGGTGGTGGACTATCGATTCCAAGGTGCTACGACGAGCCGGCCGCCGAGAGGCTTAGCCGAGCGGGAGACGCGGCGTGTAAACGGCAGAAGGGGGTGTTTGTGAAAACTGGCATATTTTAGAGCATTTTTATTCAGGAAAAGTCTATTTTCTCGCTTTCAAGAGCCATCGGCTCAGGTCCCGCCAGCATTTCCCGCCAGCATTTCCCGCATGCACTATTTGGTCTCAGGGAAAGTGGGGGAGTTGAGAGGCGTTGCGAGGAGGACTGTGGCTTATAGCAAGCGAGATCAGTTACTATTACCCTCCCTTGCGTACTATAGAAAACACGTCGGGTTGGCGGGAAGGCAAAAATCCATAAACCGTTTATCGCAGAGGGCAGAACGTGAAAATGCCGACGTGGGCGGTACACAAACTTCCCCGTTGACATTCCAACCATGTCCACCCAGGTGGGGAGAGGTTAGGTATCTTGGGTTTGACCTGTGCCAGCATTTTTCAATGATGACAGGACCGCTGTCGTACGAGCTGTAATGGACTGGGTCCTACAGTAATCTGCGTGGTGTAGCTGCGAGGTTTTGTTTCAAACGTGCTAAAAGACCGACGACATGCCATTCGCACCAGACCAGCTCGTCGTGTTAGACACGCTGCCGGGCGTCGTTGGCTTGCCAAGCACTCGGCCACAGCTCTCTGACTCTCTGCCACGAATACCACCAGACGCAACAAGCAACACAGCTCGACAGTATCATAAAGATCCACGTCGCTCGGAATCCCGTGGCCTGTTGGCTTAAGGCGTGGTGCGGTGCAGCACCGACTTTTCAGCGAGCGCCTTGTGCCGCAGCGCCGTGTGCTGGGCTTGGATCGTATCGAACGTCTGCAGCAATGGCGCCAACGGAACGCGCGGCTCGCGCGGCGGCGTCGGCAGCTGCGCAGGCTTGGCAATCGCCATGGTCATCTGGGTCACGCTCGCGAGTCGGTCCCGGAGCGTCCGAAACGCCGAGCTCTACGGAGGACATATGCGACATGTTGCGCAAAACGCGAATGATGCACCTGCGGCAGAAGCATGAGCAGCCCATACAAGCTCTTCATGAGGTTGGCGTGGTGCGGCGCCTGGGTCTCGAGGAGCTGGAGGCGCAGCTGGATAAAGATCGGCGACTCGAGGAGCTGCACGAGCTTGTCGATCTGCATGAGAAAGCCGACGGACGCATCAATCTCGCTAAACTTGTAAATGAGCGCGTTCGAGAGCTCGTACGACTGCGCGAGGAGGCAGAGGCTGAACGTCGAGACGGGGTTGTGGCACCACGTCTTAAAGAGCGTCTACTCCCATCCTCTCATCACAGCGATCCAACGATATCATCATCGTCGCACCGTAAACACGTTCATGTCGTCCTGGGACGCCGCGACATCAAAACTGCGGCGCAGGATCGTGCGCAAGTGCTCCTACCACGGTAGTCCAACGTCAGGAGGGTTGCCCTCGTGGAAGAAAGGGCACACGAGTTCGTTGGCCGTGAGCAAAATCAAGTTGAGCGTGTGCACCATGAGCGACACAAACTCGAGGTCTTCGTACGTCGAGAGCACCGTCGCAATGACCATGTAGATGCTCTTGGCTTCCAGCAGCGTGCAGAGCTTGCGAATGATGAGGCTGCCGCGCTTCTCCTACAGTATCAACGTATCAACACCGCAAATCAAAACTTCTACTAGAGCTACAAGAAGGCGGCTGTCGGTCGCAAAGAGCTGAATGACGGCTTGGAGCACCTTGGAAAACTCGAGGTGGCTCAGACTCGTGCTCAGGCGGGCGAGCACTTCGAGGTCCAAGAGCACAACCGGGTCCGCGGCATCGCTACACGTACATATCGATATCAATGTATCAATACACGCACATTGTGGTCGCGTCTACCTGAGCGTCTTGAGCAGCGTTGGCAGCAGCGAGTGAATATGCGTCGTGAGCTGGGTGGGTGTCTTTTCCAGTAGCATGGCAATCCAGCTCAGCGCCGCCATCCGCGTCGCAATGTGGTCGCTGAGCAACTCGACATTGAGTTTCGACATGAGCGGCATAAAGTCCACGTTGCTCCTACAGATATGCCATTTTTGAGATTGCGTTCGAGTCGATTGAGACTACTCGGTGGATTTGACAAGCGATAGAAGGTCCGAGTTGGCGCGCTCACCGACGATGCGGATCTCCGTCTCGGCGTCCGAGATGCAGTGCAAGATCGCACCGAGAAGGTCGCCGTAGAAGCGAACGAGCCGCTCCTTCCCGAGCACGACAAACTCATGGACCCACGTGGCTGCCGTGAGGCGCGTAAAGCGCTCCTTGGACTGGCACTGCGCAACGAGGATGTGCACCATTGGGCCAAAGTCCACGAACGGCGTCGACTTGATCTCGCGGAGGAACTCGGTGAGCGCCGAGTCGGCGGCCTGTCGGATCTCGCGGTTGCCGTCGCTGAGCATGTTGAAGAGACCGTCGAGGAACTCGGGGAGCCAGTCGAGCATCTCAATGTCGGGCACCGAGTCGAGGACCGTGATCCAGCCCACCTACGAGTGCGTAATTCAAGCTCAAAGAGGCTCCATAGGACGTGAAGGCGGTACGAGGAGCTGGCGAATGTACGGGTTGGTCATGCGAATGTACTTGTGCAAGAGCGGGATGAAGAGCTCGACGTCGAAGACCTCGCTCTCGGTCACAATGTCCTTGACCAGCCGGTCGAGGAGGTTCGCACCGTTCTTGACGTCGACGTCGACATCGGCAAAGAGCTTGCACAAGCTACATTGTATGGGAAGCCATAGATGCAGGATATACGAGGTCGTACCCGTCAAAGATTTGGTTGAAGTACTTGAGAATGTCTTGGCGAGCGACCTTGGCGATGTTGTAGAGGCTCTCGCAGGCATAGTACCTAGAGACATGCACATGCCATCAACGTCAAAGGTCGTGGTGTGTACCGGACACGGCTTTCGGGATCGTCAAAGCAATGCAGCACGGGCGGCATGAGCAGGTCCAGGTAGAGCTTGGCGTCGTGCATGAGACCAATGGCCGTGCCCGCAAGGCCGATGAGGCCACCCTTGCGGTAGTTGGCGTTCGTCGAGCACGTGAACTGGTGCTGGAGCAGGTCGATGATGAGCGGAATCGACTCCTTTGCCTGCGGCGACCCACTCTCGGCCAGCTGCTTGACGAGGTTTTCGACCTCGAGGGCCGCGCCCTTGCGCTTGTCGTAGGACCGGTCGCCGAGGTTGCGCAGGAGGTTGGGCGAGAGCGGGACCTCGGCGCCGCTGGCCGAGGCCGTGAGCGACGACGAGGCTGCGACCGACAGGCCCGCGAGCGAGAGTTCCGACATGGCTGGGGCGAAAGTGGAAATGGAAAATTGAAATCTACGATCGTGCATGTATTTTAATGCAAACATTTTATTTGGCATACACGCATGCCATGATAATACAATACATACAATGCCACCAATCAAATCCACTTGCATCGGATTCCAAGCTCTAGGATTGGCTTAAAACAAGTAAACGCTTCGCACGGATTGGCTAGAATTGCTGAAATGAGACCAATCCTGCGCAAAAGAAGATATGCCACCTCCACGTCCAGGCCCGCATCGACCAAGTGGCGACCCTGCCCGAGCCATCGAGTCATCGAGGCTCGACCACGCAACCTCTCTACTATCAAAGGTGTAGCCACGACTAACTAAACCGACTGGGCGAGCTGCAGTAGGCGCTTGCACTCGCGTGATCGGTCAAGGTTGTCGTCAGTTGTCTGCGACGCACAACACATCGAACCAGCACAGTGAGTGTCACGGGCTTCTCCATTACCATGTCGTTGAAGCAAGATGCCGATGCAAGAGCGCAGCGGCAAGAGCACAGTAGCAAGTTCTTGCACGACTATCAACTCGGGCGGGCCTTTCAACGCTTGGCGGACGCAATGCGGCGTGTCGGTCGTACCCTGGTCATCTCGGTCCGACCCACCACCTTGGTCTCATGCGTTGGAGCATTGGATCCGGCATGGTTGAGTGGCTCGAAGAAGGCCTTCGCTGAGGCTATGGATCTTCAGCTAAAACACAAGCCTCGCTGGACCGTCGTCGACTGCGCAAGGCTACTGCTGCAGCTCAGAACGTAATACAAATTTCCAGAGCTCGTCGCGAGGCCGGCTACTGGCATGTACGGCAGTCTATCGTGCGTGACAGCAAGACGCAACAAAGATTGAACGCGGTGGACGAGACATCTAAAAGGTGTATTGCTCGACTATTGCTGGCTCGTGGCTTGCATTTCGAGGCGAAAGCGCCGTTGGGCTTCGTCTTCGACGCGCTTGGCAACGCGGCGCTCTTCAAGGAACCGCTCTTGGAGGAGGAAGCCCGTGTACGCACCGCCGAGGCCAAAGATCACGGCCATCGCGGCCTTCCCGACGTTGTTGTTGCCACGCATGCTGGTCGACGTCGGCCACGAACGTGTATCCGGAGTGTGAAACACGTTTTTCACACAAATCACACTGCACACCTTCCATTTGACACAACGCCGCGGGTCTAAACGCACGCATTGTTTCGCAAAAGCACCGTCCCACGTTGCTTCACCACGGACCTACGTACCGTACCATGGCTCTCAAGGTTGCATGTAGCCGCATTCAAGCAGTTCCACTCGGTGCATCACGGTCACTCTACGGGCGAGGCGAGACCGGCGCCACCATAGTTGCGTGTAGGTAGACTATCGAATTGTCGGGCAACCGTTATGTTCTCCGAATCCGCATACTGTCCGGATAGTCTAATTTTAAGCAGGAATGGCAATGAAATGTTTAATGTTAGCTTGTTGTTTGTATGGAATTGTCTGAAATCAATTGAATACGATGCAAATTAATAAAGATCGTGGCAGTTGCAGCCTGGGTTTCGATCTTGCTTCCAACGGACGCCATAAACGAAATTCCATCGCGCTAGCACCATGGGCCTCCTCACGCTCCTCCGCAAGCTGAAGAAGGACGACAGCGAAGCGCGCATCCTCGTGCTCGGTCTCGACAACGGCGGGAAGACGACGATCCTCAAGAAGCTCTCGGAGGAAGACATTAGCCACATCATGCCGACGCAGGGCTTCAACGTCAAGAGTCTGCAGGTCGACGGCTTCAAGCTCAACATGTGGGATATTGGCGGTACGGTGACACGCAATATGGCTCCGCTCATGTGCTGCGATGTAGGCCAAAAGACCATTCGGCCCTACTGGCGAAACTACTACGAGCAGACGGACGCTTTGGTACGCCCGACTAGCCACGGACGAGGCTAACGACAACGCGTAGATCTATGTCATTGACAGCGCGGACCGCCGCCGCTTGGAAGAGACGGGCGTCGAGCTCAACAACTTGCTCGAGGAAGAGCGTCTTGCGAGCTCGCCGTTGCTGGTGTTTGCCAACAAGCAGGACTTGCTGAACGCGCTGCCAGCTTCCGAGATCTCGACCGCGCTCAACCTGCACACGTTGCGCGACCGCAACTGGCACATCCAAGCGTGCTCGGCCAAGTCGGGGAAGGCCTCCAGGAAGGCATGGAGTGGATAGTCAACACGATGAGCGAAGCGCGTGGCCGCGAAGCCAAGTAAGCACGCCTCGCACTCGGGCTGGAGATGGCTGCTGTAACCACATGTGGTTCTTCAATAAATGCCCCATACATGATCTCTGCGCGTCTGCAGCGAGGCCATGTACCCTCAACACCAATGAATGCGCGGGAAGAAACGGACCATGGGTAGCCTCATAAAGTCGCACCATGATGATGGACCGTAGCGCATGGCGCGACCCTTGACGCAGCCATCTCGCACAAACCAGTCGCCAACCTGATGAAGGCTGCTGTTTCCTCATGAACAAAGGTACATTCATCCAAGTAGCGTCGCTTGTCCCGCCGCCACAGCACCATGGACCATAGCATTGCTCCTCGCGCCGCCTGCAGGATGCAAAGACTCGAGAAGGCTGTCTTCTTGGTTTGCTGTCGTACGTGTCCTCGATGATGCTCGGCGGCTAGCTCATGCGATCGCAGGACAGAGTCCTCCAGCAGTGTATTAGCGTCGGTGGATTGTTCTTCGTGGAGAAGCAGCTTCCGGTCTCGGTCATGAAATCGTCTGCAGCCTCGTCCACGCTTCCTTTCATGACCCTCATCGGTACCCCGTCCATCGGTGCAAATGAGTTTCAACTTGATACATTTCGTGCTAGCGACAACATAGATTACACTCGAATGCATGGTTTCGGCATCCATGGCAAGGGACGCCGCCCGGTGTCAGGTCGCATCCCATGCGTCTCCTCCCATGATGCATCGACGGCTAAAGCACCACGTTGCGCATATTACGTGATTATGCTGCGAGGACCAAGGTCCAGCTAATACAATCTCTGCGTGGTCGTCTGCTGGATCGATGGCCCTGCTGCCGCGTCGTACATGCAGAGTGTGTAATCAATTCTGCATTACATTTACAAAGGCAACTCAAAGCTGACGTTGACGTGGACCTCCTCGGCCTGGGCAACAATGTCGGCGATCTTGACGGCCTTCTGGGCGGCGTCGTCCAAGTCGTTGGCGACGATCATGCGGAAGCCGCTGTTTTCGATCAACTGACGGGCCTTCTCGACGTTGGTGCCCTGGAGGCGGATGGCGATCGGCTTCTTCATGCCGAGGTCCTTGG